GAGAGAGAGAGAGAGAGAGAGAGAGAGAGAGAGAGAGGACAGAGAGGCCGAGATAGAGCGCATTTATGATAACTCCGACGTAATTCAACAATAAATCATGTCGAACAATCGTGCCTTGATCTGGAGAGGTTCGCCAATTGTGCGGAAATGTTGAGTGCGATAATGCGAATATTAACTCATGTGCAGAACAAAACAGCGAGGATGAAGCTTCTCTCATCTCTTTGAGATATTCTCGAACACGAACTCACGGTTATCGTGAATTATCTGCATGTGGAAACTCGACTCTTCGCACGTTTAGCCGACGACAGTACGACGGCGAATAGATATGCAATCCAAGTCGAAGAAGTGATAACAGGATAAGACTCCTATCTAGAGATTGCAATTTTGTTCGCGGATGTAGCGCTAAAAAAATTAGTTTTTATTTTTTTTCTAAGGATACATTTGCACTCACGAAATAAAGCAAAAATTTGTTACTTATAGGAGAAAATAAACATCTCTGAACTTTACAAAGAATTTTTGGAGAAGAATCAAATGAAATTATACTTAAAATGTAGGTTTTCTATAAAATAAATAGATGTCACCTCTCAGGTGCAACGCGACTATTCGTGTTCCAAATAGACACGCGACTAACGGAAGATTAAAATATAAATTCTCTCTTCTAAATTTATCACTGCCCCCTGCACTGTCACTTTGACTTCTATCATTATCAATTACTGCGCATGCATATTAGCCTCAGCAGTAGCTCTTAATTATGATAACTTGAAGCTACGTTGCAACTATGTTCGACAAAAAGTACGTAAACCATTTTTCAATTGAGTATATAAGAAATACGAGAGGAGTAGCGTGATGGTATTTGTTTGACGTCACGTTTTGATGATTGTCTCTATGTTATCGACATGTTTACTCATCCACTTTGCATTTTCTTGAAAAGATTCGCATCTGTGCAACGTGCTGTTCGATTAAAATTAATCGGTTGCGATTAACGCAATGAATCAGTAGTCACCGTTGAAAGGGAGCACAGGTGTGTTGATGCCAGAAGGCTGGAATGCCTCGCATATTCTGAATACCGATCACGTGTTTCACGATCACGTGGAAGTCACTTTACCTCGAAAGCTAATAGTGGCGGCTGTTTCAGTTACGTGACTAATATCTTAATATATTCCGTGAAATATTTAGCTGGAGCAGCGCGAGCGACCACGCGATGCGCCATGCCGTTTGAATCAGAGACTTCTCCCGCCCAAACGAAGTAAGAACCTTGACTAAGGAACCTATAGATGCACAGTCGTGATGGATTTCTCAGTAACGGCGAGAAAACGAAACTTCCACACAGAGTGTGTGAAGTGTTTAAAAAATAGAAAAATTCAAATCAAATTAAAACTAACGGGAACATAACGTTGAAGTGAAAACCGAGAACCTTTTTAATTTTCCCAAAGGATAATAATGCGTCCGAAACATGCATATACTGAACATACTAGTAGCATTGGAGCAATATTGGTTACAAATTGGGCTCCAATATATCCAATATTGGCTCAGTATTGCAAAGTAGACACCTTGCATTTTATGCAATATAGAATTCCGACAGTTAGCAATTTATCTATAACTAATATTGGCTACATATTAGGTTATATTGGTCCAATATACCTACCCCCTCCCCCATACATGCTAATATTAGTAGAATCTATTCACATTTTGTTTATAACCAATATTAACTATATATTGACTATATATTGGCCTAATGTAACCAATTGGGCCATTGTAATGCCAATAAATTGTGCTACTAAGGTACATGCGATTTAACGAATGAAGACTTTCTCGACATTTTACACATCCACCTAAAAATGAAAAAAAATATTTTCTTTCGATTTTAACAACGGAGCTAATATTGCCGTGGTCGGCAAGGAGAATCTCGGTTCGGAGGTGGAATCGTACGGCGCGATCGACGGTGGCCACCTTTCGCCGCGTTGGAGTTAACTCGAACGAAGTATCGGGGCCCCTCCGGTCAGATTAGGCCCCGTCGGGCCCCTCTCGCTCGCGCTGGCGCGCCGTCGGAGCGCCGTTCCTTCGCGCCGGTTCGTGCTGTCGGGTCCACCTTGCCTCGTGCATGCGCGTCATGGTCTCTCGCGTCGAGTCGGGCCCCAGCTTCGTGGTGCCCAGCTGGATCCGGACGGCCATTCGTGGGGCCCGTCGTTAGGTCGCGCTTACGCGAAGCGCACAGACAGCCGCCGAGGAAGCGTCTTGGCGCGGCGCGATCTCGTGCCGCAGCCGTCATCGTGAACCACGACAAGCCGTGCCGTGCCGTGCCGTGCTGTGCTGTGCCGTGCTGAGCCGAGCCGAGCCGAGACGGGACGGGACGATACGAGACGAGACGAGACGGACTCTCTTCGTGCTCTCTGATGTAACCCCCTTCTCCCTGCACCCGCGAAACCGCATCGCGGCCGTCGTGTATCGCCGCGATTACGCACACACTCGTAAGCGTCGCCGTCGTGCGGTCCCAACATTCGCGATCCCGTAGATCGCCCGCGATCGCCTGCGATGCGTCCTCGCGCGCGCGTCGCGAGCCTGCCGCCGCCGGGATCGATTCGCGCCGCTGATCGAGGCCGAGCCCCGATTTCGAGAGTGCGTCTTTTGTGCGCGACGGTGGCCCTCTCGGGGTGAAGGACGTGAGAACCGGTGGAGTCTACCTGCGCGAACCTCCTGGACGACGAGGTCTCCAGAAGGGGCCTCTCGGCTCGGTCTAGCCGACCGGCGACGACGATCGGGAAGATCGTCTCCCACTGTAATCAGCGCGCGAGGATTTTCCCAGGCCGATCGGGTTAATTAAGAATCTCATTTTGGCTTGTCCTCTCGCTCTGAGGGTCGCCGGGTCGTGTCAAATCTCGAAGATGGATGGGGCAGCTTAACCTGTCGATGGCTATTTATCTCTGGATGACCGCTCTTGCAGCTAATTGCGAGAGAAAGACGGACAACAGCGGAGTCGGGGATTTTGAGTGCAGTGGGAAAGTGCAAATCGGTATCGCGGGAAACTGTTGTTTCATATTGAGGGGACTAGAACCGATTACTGCAGCACACGCATCATCAACGTATAGATCATAATTCACTCCGTAGTATCGCGCTTCTCTCTCTTTCTCTCTTTCTCCCCCTTTCTCTCTCTTTTTCTCTCTCTTTTTCTCTCTCTTTCTTTCTCTCTCTCCCTGAGTCCGAGGCACGCGCATAGAGTCGTTGCGAATCAAGTCTCGAATACAATTCAGATCGGACGAAGCGTTATGCGGATTTAACGATCCATCCAGCCGATCGTAAAGCAAAAAATATAGCGTGGCGTTTATTAGGGATCGTAACTCACGAATCCTCGGCGGGTCGACCTGCAATCGCGCGAGACGCGCGCGAGATCAGGTGATAGAAACCGGAAAGAAACGGTCCCCAGAGGCGGAATCGGGAGAGGAAGTGAGATATCTGGATTTGTAGAACGGTCGCGTTGCTGATGTGTGCCACGGATATACGTTGTGCCAGTGCGCTCGCGCTTCAGCAAGATCGGCTCGGCGATTCGACCGCGTCTCCTGCCGCTCGCGGATGTTGATCGGCATCGAAATCGCCGATTTTGCCGTGCGGCCGACGCGAGTGTCGCGACGTGAGCGCGCGTGCATGGGGTGAGAGGAGGTGCGAGTCGACGGAAACGACTGCTGGGCCTCTCCAAGTGCTCTCCAGCCGGTGTGAATACATCTCACCGAGACGGATTTCGGATCATGGATCTCCGCGCTGTCGCCCAGCGAGCGTACTTTCTCAGGTGGAATCGTGCGGAGGGCATCGGCGAAAGTATTTTCGATCGTTTGCAGAAGTAAGTCCCCGCGCTTGTGCGCCACAACGCCGTGTAGAATTTTAGTTTACGATGCTGTGACGTGTGGAAACGATTCAAACGTCACTGAACGGCACAGCTGTAACTTCACAGGTGTCAGAATACACTGAAGAAAAGGTAAAAGTACCAATCCCCGGACGCATATCTAATCCTGGATATTTTTATTATTTTGGTTTTTAAATACGAATATTTAAACTTTTAAAATTATATATGCATAAATACGCACATATATACACACATATTAAATATGTACATATATTTTATATTAAAAATTAGAGACCAAAATAATAAAAATGTCCAAAATTATATACGCGCGCGCGTGTCCGGTATTTTTACCTAATTAGTAATTTTACCTTTTAACTAACAATTACATTTAGTTGAGCATTTCAGCAATATTTGGTAATTAGTATCAAACATAGTAATGAATATCAATCATCTTGGACAATAATTACAAAATAATTTCTTAAAACAAATTCTTCATTTAGCGAAGGATTTAGGTTTATGGTTAGTATTACTATGTTTTTACTTGTGTCAAGTTTGTGTATTACTGAGGAAGCAAAACAGACATATAGCAACGATGAAACTCGCAATTATCAAACATTTAGTTGATCCCATTTTAACGAAATTACGGTCCGGTGTACCAAATTTTCATTTCGACAAACAAAATCCTTTTTCCAAAGTACAACATTGAAAAACGTGCGCAACATTGTACGTTGACTTACATCTGCGTGAAGCTTAAGAACCCACGATTTCGCAACTGGTAACAGTGCAACAATTGCAGCCGTCGGGCTCCGCCAAAAATTCACTCATTCTCGCAGACATCCGCGAGTCTCTTGCACTTGCAACGCAACGCGCGCTTTCTTGGCCCTGAAGTCGAACGCAAGGCGGCGCGGCGCGGCGCGGCGCGACGTTCGCCAGCGCGTCCTTGATTTTCGCTCGATTAGTATCCGCGCGATCGCCGTTATTGAAGGAGGAAAAAGTATCGGGCGTCGTTCCGGTTGGCCGTTTCGGTTCAACGGCCCGCCGCTTGAAACGGCCTGTACCTGTGCGGCAGCACGCGTTGGTTCGCGCGCGAGCGAGCGCACAATACCGATTCTTTGAGCGCTGTGACGGAGGAGCGGAGGAGCGCGGCTTCCGGGATTGCCTGGGATTACCGGTGGTGAACTTTCACCGATCGACAAAAAAGCCAAATGTTTTCCGCTCGAACAACGCCGCGGGACGAGCGAACGTTATATTCATAAATGCCGGCGAGAGACGCTCGCCATTGTGTTTATATCCGCGATCTGCGATTTTTACTCGTTCCTTTTATCTCTGCTCCTCTCTTATGATCAAAATAGGGGAAGAGATATGGTGATCAGCAGCAGTTTTTGGGGTACATTTCTATTTTAAAGTGTCTCTTGTGTCTGTCGAAACTGACACTTGCAGAACTTTGCAAAGATTAGGCAAGATTAGGCAAGATTCTAGGCTGTAAGGATACATAGTTATATGGGAAAAATAAAATGTATCCTGCTCTTAAAACAAACTAATAAGTTGAAGTAACGAAAATCATAGTTATTGGCACTCTTGTAACAATGATTGGCATACTTGTCATATAGTGAGTGATACTCGTTAGAAATATGTTAAATAAAGAAATATATCACAATTTAAAACTAATTAATAACCGCAATATTTAAAACTTCCAAGGACCCTTTGCTAAATGATTTATTAGATAAAAGCACTGTCCACACATATCAGTATATTGGCGGTCTCTGATTGCAACCTAATAAGCTAAGCAACACTGCAACTTTACTTTAATTGTTCTTTAATAGATCATTTTCTCCTTTATTATTAACAATTGCATATTCGATGATAGTAGTTGGTCTGTTTTTCGCTTAAATGCCGATATGCTAATCACCGTATCCTTATCAATCATGTACCTCTTCCTTTACAATGTGAAGGAAAGTTTTATATGGTACGATCTTTGTTAACGCATAATTGCGATATACTCGTAGAAAATTGTCGTCTTTCTAATCTACTCCACTCGCCGTTATTTTCATATCATTTTGACAGACTAGTATGTGGGTCGTCGAATTGATCTAAATTGGCTCTCGCGCGCCACGTCAAATTTGTTTTCTCAAATTAGTTCTCAAAGCACACGATGCCGTCGAGCGTGAAGTACGCACCAGTCTTGAGGAATGGAAGGACAAATAAGAAGGAATTCCGGCGGTTTTAGTCGCGCGCTGGTTAGCGCGCAGTTGATTATACAAATGGTCCAAGCCTTATTTTTCTCATCGGGCTTATTGTATCTGTGATTACGTAAGCGTCTAAGGAATTTCGCTCGACAAGCGCGGCAATCAGGTTCATCACCTGATATCCCACAGCTGTATTAAAACAGCTGCGAAAATTCGCCATTCAGATTTTTCCCGTTGCAGTTTTCTCGCGATGTCGAGAAACAGATCCGTATATCAGACTGACCTGTCCAGCCATTGAAAGCCACCCAGTGAATAAACAGTTTGCGGTATTTCTTACAATATTCAAATATATGGCGCACTCTTATGATTTAAGTGAGTAATTAGAGGTAATTCACAGGTTAGATCTTATCATTATAAAATGATAAGATTATAAAATATGAATAAAGTGCGTCGCAAAAGGTTAATCTGGCTTTGCTTATTTAATAAATTATTGGAGTTTGCCTGCTTAAATTGCGAGGTTATTTGCGAGGTCACTCTCTGCTCTAACAATCCCTCTACAGAGGGAAGGTGTTATTATAATTAATTGTGAATATGACAGAATTTAATATGGATCTCTATTAATAATAACAATTTGTAAAAAGAACTGTTATTATTATTAGAAAGAAAGAAAGAGCTTTGTCAAAAGAACGTAGAAAAAGTAGTTTGGTTGAATTGACCAAATTGCCAGTAAAATGAGCGGATCAGAAATTCTCCGGTTGAAATCACCAGAATTCCATGTCAAGTCAACAAGATTTCTGATCAACTCGAGCACAGAATTCTGGTAAATTTAGTCAGAATTTTCCGCTCCGTTCGTATTTCGCAGAAATATATTTAATCCAGACCTTCTTTCCGTGAAGATTCATCGATAAGTCCGACGACACAGAGAAACGCCATACGGGCGCCACGGGTATACTATATATAATTACTTCATATCGAAAGCCATAATCGCGTTGCTGTAAACACGGTGAGATAAAGCCGAAGACGAAACTCAGATTAGATCTCTCGCGGCAATCTCTACCACCCAAGAAATGCACACAGCGGGACGATGCAACTGAAGAGTAAAGGTCCTCGGTTTCGCTCGGCGCGGCTGATTAACACGCGTCTTCCTCTCTCCCGCTCTCTCTGTCTCTCTCTGTCTCTCTCTCTCTCTCTCTCTCTCTCTCTCTCTCTCTCTGTCTCTCTGTCTCTCTATTTCTCTCTATCTATCTCTCTCTGTCTCTCTATTTCTTTCTATTTCTCTCTGTCTCTCTATCTCTCTCTGTCTCTCTCTCTCTGTCTCTCTCTCTCTGTCTCTCTATCTCTCTCTCTTAGATCTTATTGCCGATGAGGCTGTTAATTCCTTTTGCGGCGCGCCCCGCGAATTCCAACGGGCGGCCAAAGAAAATCAATGGCATCCGGTGCGTTTCGTCCGCGGACACGGAGAGGGATGTTCCTGGTCGCGGCCACTGGCTCTCCAAAGGCACGACGTATAAATACCACCTCGTGCAAGCCCGTGCTCCTCCCGTGCTTCCCTCCGCCGTCGTCTCCTCCTGCTCCTTCCCTCCTTGGCCTGCGGAGTCTATTTAGATAATCTTCCGCTTGGCGGGAGCGGCACTCGGTACGGCAAGGGAGCCTCTTCTTCGCGGTGGCTTTCACCAAGGTGGCATCGTGTTCCTCGTTTGTGCATCAGCGATCTTCTCCTCTCTCCCGCCACCATCTCCTCGCCCTCCTGCACCTCCTGCTCCTCCCGTGGTCGCCGTGTAGTTCCCGGTGAAACTTTTTGGCATCCGCCACGCCCGTGCGCGAACGCCCGCCTCGTGACTCGTACAACGACCTTGGAGAGAACACCCTGCGGAGAAAAGCCCCGGAAAGAGCGTACCTGCAAGTACGCCGGAGAGGGCTCGAAGGGAAATCCAGGCAGAATCTTAAGAGGGAATCTCGAGGACGCCCTCGACGACGGTCGTCGAGGAGAAATTCGCACCTTCGGGGAAAGCTCGCGAAAGATTTCGACAAGTACCCACGAGAAATTTCTCCGCGCCATCCTAAGGCGAGCACGCCGAGGACCAGCCTGTATATGTGTGTGTGTGTGTGTGTGTGTGTGTGTATGTGTGTGTGTGTGAGAATCTAACACAGTCTGAACTGAGTAATTTGCGCGGCAACAATCGTTGTCGAACGCGATCTCCAGACGGTGTTGTCAGAAGAGACTCTAAATGTGCAGAAGGATACGCGACGAAGATTACCGTGGCGAGTCACGAGAGGTGTCCGAGAAGCCACAGCTCGTAAGTCGATCCCGGAGCGGTACCGGAAGTTGTCGCAAGGCGGACAACGTGGTGAACCGTGTGCCGGCGCGTGTGGGTGAAAGAGGTGATTAGACTCTCGAGCGGAAGATGCCGCGGTCGGTAGTGTCGGCGGTGGACGATGACGAGATTCGCTGATTGACCGTGGCTTTTATTTTCGGCGGGTACGTACCTGATATGCCGATCATTGCTTGACTCACGGGCGGTTTGTTTGGCGCAAAGTCGATAAGGATATTTGGATACCGTGGCGAGATAAACGGAACACCGGCTATTGCTGCTCGTGGACTACAACCCGATCTTGATTGACGTACAGAAAGTGCACTACCGAGAAGAGGACACTTGAATATTTATCTGTGGGAGATAAAGTTTTAGAAGTCGCTGAAATCAATTTTATTTCACAGAAGCACAAACTCTATTTCACAGAAATCAACTTTATACCCCACAAATAAATTTTCCAGTATTTTTTCCTTCGTTTTATTTGTTTACATATTTGTCT